ATTCCACTCTTGTTTCTCTTCAGATCGTATAAATCTTTCGCCTTTTACTAAAGATTTCCGTGGAGAGGAACAGCAAGAGTATAACCCAATTTTTTGTTGCCCTGCTTTTAGTGGGGCTTTCTGACAATGTTCAATGAAAACTTCAAAAACTAGGAGACTGGAACACCACTGCTTGTAACATGCTTTCATAATATTGGGAGTTTTTCTGTATATCCTTAGTGTAGGGCTGGAGTTTAGTTTGCTATTTACACCTAATACTTTGATGCTAATATGTTTTGCTTCTGCTTTGCACTACTAGTGGTTTTGTTTATTTTTAATATATTTATCGTGTTCATTGTTCCTCACTGTGTATATTTATTAATGTGCCAACCTACCAGAACAAATTCCTAAACTAAACCTGGCAATGAATTTGTGTCTTGTGCCAATGTAAACATTTGAAGTTCAAAAATACTTACAAGAAGCCTTCACAGTTTAAATGCATCTTGGTGGTGTTTAAAGCATTTTTTTCTTTTGCCATAAATTAAACTGGACGTTTGCAAAACTGCCGAACTTGTGGATTTAAAAGCTGATTCCACCCAAAATACTGTTCATAGTTTTAACAATTAGTGCCATCAATACAGTGCCTTCTAACTAACAAAAAAAGTAGTTTTAAAGGTTTATTCCACCCAAAATAATGTTTTGTGTCCAAGTACTTACAATTGTCGTTTATTTTTCTTTTTTCCCCAGCTTAAATAATACTTTCTAACTAGCAAGTTGTGGATTTAAAAGTTTATTTAACCCCAGTAGTTCTTTCTGTTATGCACTTTAGTCTGGTATGGGTTGCATGTTGGACAAGTTGTGTAACTAGACTTTGTATGAAATTTGACATCACAAGATAGAAAAGAGAAGACTGAAAGTTATTAGTCAGTGATTATCAGGAGAAAATAACAAAACAACAATGCTATGGTTCCAAGATAGCATACAGATAAAGGTTAGAGAGGCAATACACAAGACACACACACACACACATATATATGAGCCGTATATATGCAGCTGTAAGCAAAACAAATGTTAACATCTATATGTTTATTATGGCAACTTGAGTTTTAAATGACGGGTCTTAGTCACAACAAAAACTATCACACACTTTGGTTCTGCCACAGATTTATTAGAAGTCCATTATGGTCTTTACAAGTGCATGTGGATATATAAAGTCATCCTTGTGTTTTGCATCTCCACCCTTTCAAATCTTGTCTTTTCTATCTTGGGACTACAAAGTTCACACAAAGTCCATTTGCACAACTTGTCCAA